CTCACTTGCTATCCATACCCTCCTTTGACTCAGTGTCTGCTTTCTTGACTTCCGCCTTTCCTTTCCCGCGCATTAGCGCTCTATCTTGCGACGCGCTATTCCCGCGCTTTAGCGCTCTTTTGAGTCTTTGATCTTGAGTTGTCCTTTGTAGCTTTTCCCTTGGGTCGAACGTTCTTGCTTTATTGTTTGCAAGTATAGCAGCATAGGCAGAGCTTAGACATATACTGGCTAAGTACTTACAAGTGCCTAGTCAGGTTGAGATTTTCACACCACACTTCACTTGAAGCACCTGAAAGTATTCAATTCATTGATTTTAGCATTGTATCTGTTAGATCGTTAGCGGTACTACAAATCTCAATGTCAGAAATGTACCTTAATTGCAAGAGTGCGCACAGCTGCAACAACATCCAGCAATCCTCCCAAGACACGGCTGTTTGTCAGTAAAGGATCAAATTCCAGATTGCAGTAGTAGTTTCCACAGCGCAATGCGAGAGATGATGGACATGATAGCAATGATAGTAGATTCAGAACGTGAGCAAGGCAGGGGAGGTGGTGTTCTTCAGCATTGAAGGAGTAAATGTGGCAGCGATGCAAAACGTGTTCTATCTTGTCACAGGTTGTGTCATTCTGGTATTATCGGCCGTCACAACGAAAAGCTGAGTTCAATGAATTCATCTGAGTCAGTAGTGTTCAGAGGTGAGATAGAGCAAGAAATACCTTTGTAGATTGGGTAGAAATGATACCCACTCGCTCGCATAAGCTGACTATGTACCTTCCAAGATTATCTCCACTGTGCGCACCAGAGACACCACGGAACACAATGACGTGTGACTGTAGATCCCATCTTTCCTTCTCAATATGAATCCAATGCGCGGTAAGTCCCAGGAATGATGCCTTGGTCTGGTCAATGGACCAGAGATCGGTAGTTGTTGAGATGCGGCCAGTATTTACAGACTATTATATATGTTAGAAAATGTATTTATCTATTAAAAAAACACATACCTGCATCTCATCCTTGATATCCTTGATGAGCTTGATGAACGAGTTGTGAATATATGTTTGTGATATCGTGCGTTGAAGGTAAATCTACTATTGTTGCAGCTGGACGCATTGCAACTAAGCAGTTCCAAATGTGGTCTTGTTTGCCAATGCTAGAGACTAAATGTAGTAAACAATCAGTATAACACGATTATATGAATATGGCACAGGCCTCACTTGATCGTCACACACAACAAATTCTGCAACTGCATGCAGTACGGAATCTCTTGAAAACTCCTTTAACTGCTTCTTCTCTGTCTTCTGGAACAATCTATCAATCTTCATCTGCTTTCCTTTCGACTCTTTCTCCAGCTCTCACAACATTTCACAAGGCATCGCATAGTGGTTCTCCCGATCTTTAACTCCCTACATCTGGCCTTGTAGAACTTGTAGTGGCTGCATATGTGTTGACGGCATGAAGAATTACTACCTAGATGAAACACCTTCCGCTTCCCATTATCCTTTACAAATTTTCATCATCCCTTCGGAATTATGGTAAGTTGATTGCCCATCACAAGATATTTTATACTGACTCACTTGCAAATGATACACCAGCGTCCTTTCTTTGTATCTACTACACCATCAATGCCGACAAATTTCACCACGCACTCTCCGTAAACATGGTAAGTAGATCACTAGCCCACTGTTTCTTCATTATCAATAGATCTGGGAGATCTGCCTTGTGTTGTTCCCCCAGATCATTTCCCTGCTATTGTGCATGCCCGTGAGCTAACACTGATTTTCTACAGTATCCTTTTACTTGCCTCGTCTTCGTCATTATCACTGTCGCGGTCCTCGATACTAGAGTCATACCCTATCACTTCAGGCTCACTTTCCACGGCGGCAAGGTCATGCACTTCCTCAACGTCAACTGGGGGGGCTGGAGCTTTCCCTTTCCGGACACGTTTGGATGCTTTCTTCTTAGAGGTGCATTGATTTTCTGGAGGGCTTGAATAACTGCTGCTGTCAGACTCTTCCTCACTGACTACTGGTCTTTTTCATTTAGAATTCTTTGGTGACTTCGGGGGTCTTGAATGAGAGCCTTTCAGAGTTGCATTACAAGTTTCAGAGCCAGCGAGAGCTTTTGCGGTTGCCATCCACTTGCATGAAGACTTCCGTGGATTCAACATCATAAATTGGAGGGTTGTGGAGTAAGAGAATGAGTCTTATTTTTTTTGAGGCGAGGTAGACAGTATGCTAAGTATGCCTGGTGGTAAACACGTTGTACTAGTATGATACCGATTTCCCCTGTACTATACTAGTGTTACATTTCCGTCATTCTACAAGTATATTTCATCAGTCATACCAGTCCTGACCAGTCTTACACAGTTGCCAACCGGTTGTATCTGCAACCGGTTGGCAACCGACTGCAAACCATGTCGCAGTCACACACAACCAGTCTCGGAGGGTTCAGTCCAGGTTGTAGTATGAAATTGAGTTTAGACAGACTGGTCTGGGTCCGGTCTTGCCAAAATTAGCAAAAGACCGAACCCAACCAGACTTTTAAACTCTAGCTTCTATTGCCTACTTTTTGAGTCTTTTTCCCATCCGAGTATTATACAGTAAGTATGGGACTCGGTGAGCCAAAACTCACTAGTTTGAAAGATATTCACTGTATGCCTGGGATCCGGCCATTTCGAAAAACGTCGACAGAATTGCGGGTCATAGTGCTGAATGTTGAGTGCACGGTATGGACGAGATCATCTCTGCCGGTGTCAAAATCCTCAGGGTGGCCTATGCATTTCGTGGATATGCAACGACATGGCCAGTAAACCGGGCGAAGACTAGAATGTAATGTCCTACATAGAGTATTACTCTGCAAAGGACAAAAATTGGATTCAAAAAAAAAAAAAAACCGGGCGAAACGGCTGTTGTATCTGTAGCATACAGCCCACTGTGAGCAGTAGACAATGACTTTGCTGCAGTGTTTGGAAAGGAAGGGGCACGTGAGGGCACATGCGTCTAACTTTAGCGCTGGGGTTGACGTTCACTGGCATTTGATTGATCCCCACTATTTCCAAAAGCAAGACGCTTCCGTCCCGCGTGGTGATAGCTGCACTGGCGCTCACTGCTGTGCTTTAAGCTGTATCTATTCTAAAATATCATTGTCAATTTCAACTCGCCCGGTCGACCGAACGCCCATGGCTAGCCCCACTCAATTCTTATTTTAAATACTCCCCCATTTTATTTCCGAACTGTCACCAAGCTGTTACTCGATGCATAGTCTAATAAACTGCACTCAAATGTCCAGAAATAACATCCCGTCTGAAGTTCAACAAACCGTGCTGCACATTGCCCCAGCTGTGTCTGTCGCTGGTCACGACTTGCCAAAGTTCAATGGCACGGCTTCGTCGTATGGGCAAACGGGGTTATTCTCTTCTTGTTCACAAACATGAGGATTCAGCTCTCAGTGTTTATACATGGTATTCCGAGACAATGTGATTCGGAAGATATGTTGAGGCAATGCTGAAGCAAAACTCATCACTATAACCACTGGCAGGGCCAAATGTCATTTCAGGGATCCATGCCAATCATCTGGTCATAAAGACGCCTTCATTTACATTATTATCAATAATATGAAGGTGACTCACGAAGCGTTACCTTCCACTCGGGTATTCGACTGACTTGTGTTTTGGATGTGGCATTATCAGGAATCTCCCTGTAAATTGTAAGTCAATCAATACCGCCCATTACCGTCCACCGGCATTAATATTGATCCATCTGACCATGTCATAGACACAACGTAACAGAAAATTGGGATTTGGATGACAACTGTGTCTAGATCCCCTGTGGCGGCCGCGGGCTGCTGCTTCTTCCTGAAGAAAAATATAAAACTCTGCGCGTGTAGATAAGACGCTGTGTTTAGGATGTGCCTTTGGCCTGGCCCCAGGCCATGTACATCATCACCTGCAAGTTTAGAAAGAAGGTCTCGCATGGGGGAAGACTGAAATTGGTGCTTCAAGTGAAGCAGTGACGAACTCCGACTCCGGGTGCTAGGTGCTATCCTGTACCATCTTCCAGAATCTGATAGAGATTTTTAGGTACCGATGGCGAGGAGATGAAACTGATCAGAACACGGGCATCATAAGAAGTGTGTACCATGCTGGCACAGATAGATGGGCGCAGAGTTTCAATACATCTGACAGCGTCAAAGGCTTCCTGAAATGATCGGAGTTGTGATTGGGCAAAACATTGGACCTACGAGTTAACAATTAGTGGTACCACCCGGAATCTGAGCCTACGACAAATACAAAACACAGGCTCACCCTCGTTAGCTTAGAGTCTACCGTCCCCTGCTACTCGTCTGAAAATTTTCAGTTCCCTGGAATTGCATCACCATAGTCAAACTGCGTGTACAGCCATTCAATGACCCCACTTCATGACGGTCGCCACAGCCAAACAATACATGATCAAATTTTCATTGACACGCAGGATATATAAGACCGTTCACGCCACCACTCTACAGTGCAGGATATGCAATGGAAGCGCCCTCACCAGAAAATACCTTGCACATTGGTCGCATATTTCGAAAAGCTTGTCCCAGTCCCAGATATTCGTACAGCCAGGAGACCTATTTTGAGACCGTTCATCACAACCACACCATCCTGTACTTAATCCGAGGGGGAGGATGGTGGACACACGTCAGCATCCAACATGACTCGCTGATCTTTGAGTAGAAGCGGTACCTTGAGGAGATACCTTGTATTAATTAGTTATGTGCCGAATTATATCTGTACTAGAAGCTCCGACTTACAAGTGCGATGCCAATTGATAAGTGGAATAAATGATCGCGGATTTGCTGTGCTCACAGTACTGCGTACCGATCAAACCAGAGGTTGTTGAAAACCAGCCAAGCGAGACATTGGATCCGGATATAATCGTTGAAGTACAGGGTGCAATGTCAGTGGGATGAAAGGAAGGTGCATTTAGGTGGAAAAAATACCAAGGTGTGAAAGAGTTCCTCATAGGCAGAAGCTTTAAAAAAATGAGTGTTCGTGAGATCTGCTGTCGTGAAACAAGCATATCTCTCTCACTCAAGATCAACCGAGCACTCGTGACAAATGCCATCCGAGGTCAGCGAAAGAATAACTTATTCAAGACTAAACATGCACCCACGATATGAAAGGGTATGTTGTTACCGAATTATGGCCATGGGACGCCTTCGACATCCCTACTCGGTTCAAACACCAAAAGGACCCCGACTCCTTATTGAAGAGAGTTCAGTTGCGTAGTTGAATGGACGAGTACGCGAGTCACGGCTCACATGATGTACTTCAGTTTTTGTCGGTTCGATTTTTCTTTTTCTCGTACCTCGTTAATCTTCGCGAGTCCTCTACGTATCCTTATGTTTTCTGGAACTTTGAGGATCCGAGTAAGGCAGGAATGATTGGTAAATCTGGGTTTGAATAAATATTCAAGTAATCCTGTCAGCCTGGGGCCAATGCGCCGATGATATATCCAGAATGTGCGTGATTCGTTAGCGCCAATCACCCCACGGGCCACAAAGTTATCTCACCCGCATAACGGATATTTTATTGATATTGAACTGACAGGTAAGTTCGGTTTCCCTCTGATCTTCATCACTGCAGATTCGTCGATTTGGAAAGAACTTACTTGATATGTTTCCGGCTACTGCCATACGCGTATTCCGAACTTACGCAGGCTCGTTCCTTCCATCATTAATCTCGACGGACTTTTTGGATATGTCACCGGCACATTTCGATCTGCGCATTAGCCGTCTTGGCGTGCACCCTTTGGGTGTCATGAAACCCGTCGGAAGCTTCACTTCTCTCCGTCGTTCGTATGGCCGCTGGCGCTGACACTGACATCGCAAGTTTTACGTTGTGGTTGTAAGTGGGCATACAATTTCACGCACGTTGTTGGTTACTCGCTCCGAGCCTGTCCTCAGTACATGATTCTGATCTGGTCTATGTGTATCTTGCTAACACCCTTGGTTCTCATCCCACTGCAGTAACTCCAGCAAGTAAATAATTCGCAGCTGACCCGACGAATTTCTATCCAGGGCAACATTCGATGATAGACTGGAAAGTTACTATCTTATTGTCACAATGAGCAACAAGCTCGTTAACGCCGGTGCGCAAGTAAGGTGGTTCTCCCTCTGGTTTGCGTCACTGACTTGCCAATTTAGAAAGAACTTACTTGATATATTTCCAGCTACTAGCATACGACTATTCCGAAATTATACAGGGCATATTGCTTCCACATTAAGAACATCAGACGAACCAGGGGAGCTGGATTCTCTGATGCTATGTGCATCATTGTTCTTGAAGCTTGAACTCCGATGGCAATCACCTGCTCTCCTATACAGGGGTTTAAGCGTAAGCGCTAACAACAGTATTTAAAAGGCACACTACAACTTCTCTAGTATGCCATCTACAACGATGCGACTTATTTTTATAACCGCTTTAGCTCTCTCACAAGCCTTTATCGTACTTTCTCAACACGCTGAGGC